TAAAAACATTAAGACCACAAATGAGTGAAATATTTGAGAAAAGATGCTTTAGATACAAAGTCCAAGATAGGACTGAGGAACAAACCTTACAAAAATAGACTACGACACATGATTATTTTATTTAGGTTATATAAGATTAAGAGGAAACCTGATAATAGCACACAATACGCTACGTCAGCCAAGACAATTCAACAAAAAATATTCTATCGGAAACTCACTGTTACGCTCTTAGATGCAACCCCTAAACAATAGCACATTAAAGAGCTGAGATTCAAGTGTCATTTCATTTTCCCTGGCTAAAAGTTGCCCACATAAAGAATATTCTACCAGTGAAAGTGACCACATACTCTTCAGTGGATTCTACGAACTTCTATATTTCCTCTTGAACTAACTTCGTTTGATGCAACCTTGGTAACGTAACTTTTATCATCATCACGTACTATCAGTTTATCCAAATCCTGTTTTTAATAATCTCCGTTTACCTTTTGTTTTCATACTTCAGTCTGCTTACACTGTTCGCATTGGCAACTACTTGATTTAGTTGCTGTCTTCTACAGATTATCGTCGTCTCCTAGCTATTTGTGTTAATACCTTTCCTTTATTACTTTTCACAATGCAGTCAATCTGCTTGGTAACGCGATAACTGCTGGTCCAAGAACATTTACTGTCTTGAGACAGACATACTCACACAGATTATAATATATTGTGATGATTAGGAGTACTTGAATTATAGTACAAACTAAGAATCCCAGAAATAACGCTATTTGATCGAGAATTACTAGGTAACCAAGAACGAATGTATTGTATTTGGAATTCGAAATCAGGCAGCCATTAAGTACAAATGGATCGCTCGTTCATATAAACACCACATATATACAAACCCACAAACTACTGCCAAACTGATTAGAACTAGTACAGTTAAGTGACTAGACTAGTGCCTATTGGACAGCAGCATAAATCGAGAATTATATCAAAAAAACCAGAAAGAAACAAAAAATCGATTTGCCTAAATGTCACAAACATTGTGGATAAATAGACATAAATTCTGAGATTGTAACTTTCTGAGAAGAATATATATATATATATATATATATATATATATATATATATATATATATATATATATATATATATATATAGCTAAACCGCTTATCGACTTTATGACTTCATATGACAGAACTTTTATTTACATTCGTTGAAGGAAATTTGACATTCCATTGCACTATTAGTTAGTTACTTTTTGGTATTTATTGCATTACAAAAGTCCAGAAAAAAAATTATGCATTACAGATAAATTTGATTTCTAAATCTTGTAATTTAAAGTACCACAATCTTTTCTAGTAGTAGTAATGCCAAATACAAATATTTTGCTGAATTACACCCTAGTTCATAAAGGTCACGGTAAGAAAATGTAATTGACATTGTAGACGAATTTAGATACCACATTACCTAAATTTTTCAAAAGGACTAACTACCTTGAATAGTAGAAAACATATCAACTCTCACTTTTTATTAGCATGATAACTTCCATCTTTGGAATGTGGCTTCCAGGACAAATTTTTAATAACATTTATAACAATGATACTTTTTTCATCAAAACAACCGTATTTGGTGTATACTAATCTACTTTAGCACCTTCAACACTATATTATGTTGATACAAAATTAATTAGGTTGATTATAGAAAGAAAAACAATTATTGATAAAATCAATCACAGATTGAAAGTAATCTTATCATGACCGATGAATGTATGAAGCTCTCTTTAATTATTTAAGAATGAAAATAACGAGACCCTACTGTTCACAATTTGAGAAAATCTATTAATTAGGTTAGAGATTATTTAAAGAGCAGATACTATGGTAAACTATATTTACCTCCCTTATTATTGTTTTGTTTGAATATTCCCATTGATGTTTAGGACTGCAACTGGTCAGCCTCTTATTGGCATATGTGAATACTGTGCGTATTGCCTCGATAAAGCCTGAATTCACAAGTATCATAAGCAAAAATGGATAGTGGCTAGCAATGATATCCAGGACGCACATTTCGTCTTATTTGAGACTCGTCAGTGGCTATCAGGACTCAGTAGCTGAGTGGATAACGCAATGGCGTTTGAAGCGAAAGGTATTGGGTTCGAGTCCCAGAGTGAACATCAACTCTGAGATGCAGCTACATCCAGCTAATGAGTTCCAAATAAGACGAAATGTGCGTTCTGGGATCCACTGCTAGCCACTATCAATCGTTGCCTATACTTAATTGTTTTCATGGTAGAATGTTAAATTATTAACTTTAAAATGACTTATTCTAACTGTCTTATAATCAACATTCTCCTGACAGAGTTAACCTCACCTTATAAACAAGATGACAATCAGTAATCATTCAAGCTGAACTCATTTATATTTCTTTCGCTTTGTAATTTATTTATTTGAATAGGTTGTTTGTTGTTATTTTTAGCACAACTTTGAAACTAATAACTGTGGAAATAACTTATTTGTTTTGTAATTCAATTCCATACTGTTTTACTATTCACGATATGTTTCCACAACAGTTATTTTTGACAACAGTTTTGACTGCAATTTATTGTTATCGTCATTTTCATTAAGCTTACCGTATGAGGTTTATTTGTTGCAATAATTTGCATGTGATAACGTAACTATTAAGATTTATGGATAAATACAATGATTCTATTTAGGAAACTATATGAATTATGATAATAATTGGATACCATTATATGCGAAAAACCACTTTTTACGTTAGCTCTGATCATCATTACTTAGTCATACACTTTTAATAATGTAAGTTGTTGAAGGGAAAAAAGAGAAACATGTTGATTATCATGTGGTCCAATGTTCAGTCTATTGTGATTATCAATTTTTAGTAGATTTAGTCTACTTAGAAGTTTTTACTCAGTGACATTATTGACGCGTCAATCATCAAAACATATAACTGGATAGTTTTCTGCAATTCATGTTTCTCAATAATTCCTCAACTAATTACTGAAGTGGTTTTTTTGTGGAGATTTAGTATTTTCACAGTTGAAAGCATGAGTCAGTTAAAGCTAGATCATCAAGGAAAACCTGGAAGCACTGGACGACCGTTTCGTCCTATTGTGAGACTCCTCAGCAGTGCACCGGAGCACTTAACCGATAGACTGGTAGGTTCTGGGTTCGAATCTCGCGAGTGAGGGATCGTAAATGCGCACTGCTAAGGAGTCCCACAATAGGACGAAACGGCCGTCCAGTGCTTCCAGGTTTTCCTTGATGGTCTAGCTTCAACTGACTCATGCTTTCAATTATGGTAATTACTGAAGTTCCTCAAATCTTAAACAATAAGGTCCCATTGTTTTCATTCTTAAATAATTAAAGAGAACTTCATACATTCATCGATCATGATAAGATTACTATCAATCTGTGATTGTTTTTATCAATAGTTACTTCTCTTTCTATAATCAACCTAATTAATGTTATACTAGCATACTATAATACTAAAATTGCTTAAACAAACCAGTTTACTATATATAAATAATTTGAAAAGTAAACAATTATTTTGACTACCATAAATTCGACCCAGAAAACACATTCCAACAACATAACTAATCATGCTAATGAAAATTAATGAAAAAACGTTTCTCTACAGTATTGTTCAGATTGCATTTTTAAATTAGAACGTGAATTCAAGAAACCTTTTGATTTTGTATTATTTGAAAGTATTTCAGTTTTAGTATAATCAGTATGTACATCAGAAACACTTCTGATTATTTTCATAATAATTATTGTTTACCTGAACTGCTAATACAAATTTTGGTAAACTGTTTTAAGTGAAAAGGCAATACCTAAAACATGAAGATTGTTTGAACCATGTGGAGAGTAAACTTAAAATGAAGCAATTGAAAAGAAGCTTACAAACAATTGTGAATTTCAAAAGTTTACTATGGACATTATTCATCAAATATTAGACAACATCCATGCTACAAAGGTTTACAACAAGCTAAAAATTTGTCATAAACTCCATTCATAAACATGAGCGTTATCTTGTAGAATACTGTTACGATAACTGCATCACATAATACGATTATGTTATATCCCGAAGAGAATTATGAATGGTAACTTTAAGAACTATTTATGGACCAATATGATATGTATATTTCCTATTGTATAATTGTTAAGTAACTAAACTATTCATATTCGTGTCCCTCTTATTATAAGCTTTATTTTGACTATAAGCTATTATTATACGTTTAATCATTCTTGAGTTATCTCAAGTCCATTAATTACTGTTCCCCCTATTCACAGCCACATCTGACCAAATCTTGTACAAATGTTATTTTCTATTTTATGGTACGATGTGGTCAGTTTGTTTGGTATATAAACCCAGTATGTTTGAGAATAATGATTCATATTGCTGAGGCTGTTATTGGTGTTCTGGACTTAACTAGCTGGGCTAGGCAGAAAGCAGGATTGATCAGTACTCAAGACTGCTCATACGGCTTTTGTGTATCATAGCTTTGATCGATAATTCGCTCCTCTCTGATTGGCGGGAACCGGCACGTTCATATATTAAACTGGGCACACACTCAATAGATATAACAAATTACTAATAAAAATCGGATAGTCTGAAATCTAAGTTTTATAAAAGCTGAATTTCTTTATAAAATATTATTTTTGTCTATGTACTAAGATGTGGTTTACGAAATCTACTGAGTAGTTTTACTCATACTGCCAACTTACAATTATTATCAGTATGAGGTTGTGGAGATTGTTGATTTATTGATTGAGATCATGAATCGATGAATGTTAGACCACCATTGAAAACCTGAAAGTACTGGACGTCTATTTCGTCCTAGTATGGGCGCATCCACTGTCCCGCATCCGGGATTGAAACCCAGGACTTTCAGTCTAATCCATTAGACAATTTATTAGTGTCAAAATATGTCATATCACGGTACTCAAAAACCGAAATAGGTTCGTAATACATTTGTTTGCTAAGTACCTGGAGTCCGTATTCACTAATGGTTTGGAATCAAGATTTTGCAACTTGCCATCCCGGTTTAAGCGTCTAACGCTCGTTTTTGATCCTTTCATAAACACCACCCCTCATGATGTGCAGATAATGAGCAAGATAAAAATCAACAATTACTTTTACATTCAATGAAAATGACAAATCACAAAAACTTAAGAACTCTCCTACTTTAATTCAGTCCAATGTAATATAGATTTGAACTGATTAAAGTCATAAACTTCAGTATTCATATACCAAAAAAATAGATTTCCATAGGCAATTACCACTACATTATACACTACAACAAAACAACAAGCGTATTAAAAAGGCATAGTATTTCTGATGAATAAATAAATAAAATGATAACAAAAATCAAACAAAAGTTATAAAAAGAAGGAAGTGGTATACAAAAAAAATATATAAGGAGATAAACAGGATTTTGTAAGAAGTTAGATTAAAGTGGTTGAGAAAAGGTGGATTCTCCATTCCGATTACCAATATTATCATACTACATTGAAACGTATGTATTTTGTTTCTTTTCCCTGATAAGATATAAGAAATTATAAATACATAAACATGTCAAACATCTACAACACATTTTTTTCCATTAGAAGTGAGTTACAAATAGTGAACCATATAAGTTTTATACTTTATCTGAAAAAGAACTTTATTATAAAACAACCTAACGAGATTCTACTATAGTGTAGCACTCATAATGTATCAGATACCTTGTAGAACCAATTAAACGTATACGCACAACAACACACTGTCATTATTTGTCACATTCAAATGTTTAATACTCGTAAAAATACTTTCGGCGTTTTACTTAGTGAATATTATTGTCGTGATTCGATCTCTGTTTAGATGTTTATAGGTGAGACAAACACCCTGAGAGATTTAGATTTCTTGTATTTATGTTTTAGAATGATTTATGAAAATCACGATAGTTAGCTTACCATGCGAAACATTTTAACATTAGCTAGAAAAAATATGGAATCTTATCCTGGTTTCATCAAATCAGAACGAAATCGTTCGTTTAAGTGAGCATGATATAACTTTAAGATTAGCTAGCTAAGTAGACAACAGATTGAACTAACTACTCATATTCAACCTTGCATAAGAATTACACATTCAAATCTTTACTTAAATATATTAGATCATAATAAAACTTCAAAAAAGAGATTAATTCACCAATGATCAAGTCAATTATTAACAACTAATGAGTATAAAAACAACATACAGTGGTTTCTCTTGTCTCTGACGTTTCTCATGTTTCAAAGTGATCGACCCTCGACTAATATTATTCTACAGTCAGAAAGAAAGACAAAATATAAATATGTACAGATTAAGCTGACTGACTTTATCATGATGTCCAATGATATATTACAAAAACTAACTCCACATTTGACTGTAGATTCAAACCTATTCTGAATAGAGAAGTGACATTTTCAATTAAAATAACTATATAGATACTTGAATGAGTTAATAAAAGTATCAAAGTGACACAATAAAGACTTTACGTAAGTTTACTCAGTAGTGTTATACACAACATAGATGCACACTAGTTTAAAAACAGAAATCTTGTTGTAAACAGCATTTTGTAATAATGACATTTCAATAACTTTTAGTGATAAAAACTGTGACAAAATGTGGTATTTGAATGAACCAATGATTCCCTTGTATTTATGAATTTTGAATTCCAAATACAGTTCATTTGTTCGTGCTCATCTAATACTTTCTGATGAAATTGCGTTATTGCTGGGATTGCTAGTTTATACTATAATTCAAATACTCCAAATTATCACATTGGCGTCGCGATGCAGCCTGTGATGGAACCGTTGGACATACATTCCGATTTTGATGCTTTTGAGGATTATATGGAAAGGTTAGAAATCTGGACTATGACCAAGGAAGATGCTGAGGATGTTAATATTGTGGCTGATTCCCTTACGTTCATCGGAAAAGAAGCATACAGCTTAATAAAGACTGGCATTTCCAGACAAGCCGATTTCACTCCCTTATGCAACTCTCAAGCAACTACTACTGGACCATGTAAAGTATACAAATTTCGAAAAAAAATTCGAAGAAATGACTCGCCAGAACATCAGGAATTCCATTACTTTACTACGTCATCCCAGTGAAATACGTAATCAAGGTTATTCAGATAACGGTTCATTGAATTATGAAACAGTTCGCAAAGATGAGCACAAGTTTGGTAAATGCTTGTTCTGTGGCAAGTTTCACCCATGTAATTCATGTGTATTTAGTAATTCTAAATGCTTTGAATGTGGTAAAATTGGACACATTCAGTCAGTTTCTAATACCATAGTTCATTTCGCTGAAACTAATGCTAAAATTCAACTTCGCCTGTAGCTCTTCTAGAGTTACTGCCGGTCTCAAGCCCGGGTAAAGGAGGAGGGTTGGGCATGGGGTTAGCGACCCCATCCCGTAGAAAAGCTAACTCGCTAAAAAAAACGCTAACCAGAAAAATGCTAAAATTCGTAATTGGGATCCTATTAAGTTGGATGTTCCCAAGACTTCTAGGAGCGGTATAGAGGCACATAGCAGTTCAGAGTTGAATAAAACCCAGAATCACTAAGAAACAAAAATTTCTAATCAACCAACTTCTTATCGGATTTCTTGTGTTATTGTACCAAATATGGTTTGTCGTAATAATTCACATATTTCCGACGAAATTTCTTACAACTCTGAGAATAATATGTTGAATGAGTCAAATCATGATCAAAAACCAGATTCAGTTTTGATAGATGCTGATTTTTCTGATGATCCATTATTCTCTAATGAAACTCTTAATAACTTTGAGGAAGATATTTCAGAAAAATCAAATTCTGATGCCATATCAAGTGTCAGTGGTCCTCATAATGAATTTATTTCTAGTGATATCCCCAATGAGTGTGACAAATATGTTCCGGATCAGTCGAATTCTAGTCACATTTCTGATGTTATTGTATCAGATGTTGGATATTCTCCAAACCAATGTTTGTTGAGTAGAATCTCTAGTCAGTGGTATGATGAATCAGAGGGAATAGCAAGTTTTCCTGAAGCAACCAAAGAACCAGTTTGCCCAGATATAGAGTTTGCACAGACAGAGAATCCAAATCAAGTTCAAGAATATCCTAATGAGTATGAGGCAGATGAGTGTTTCCCATTTGATTGTTTCGCAGGTGAATCAAGCCTAGATGAATCACATGTGTTAATTACACATATCAATGCATATCTATCTGTGTATTCTAATATGAATAACAAAAAAATATGTATCATAGTTTTTATTCAAGTGAAAGTCACATGATGGAATACCTCAAATTATATATCAGTGTGTATCCCCAAATACTTACATACAATAATCGAAGCGTGAGATTTGAGAAAATAATCCAAATTGGGAACGTCAAATTAGTTATAACATTGCGACTTAAGGACCCAACATTGTTTCATGAGAGAGGATATTGTTGGAAATTCTATGATGCAAATTCTAAATATCAGTGGTTTCACTACACAACCAACATGATAATTGTATACAATTCCAGGAATCAGGTCAGTCTGTTCCAATTTCAGTTGTTAATTCTAATACTAACTAGTGCATTCTAGATAATACAGAGTCTACATCCACTACACTGTCGGACAGACGTAAGATGAACTTAAGAAGGAGACGTACAATCTATTACAGACACTTACACTCCAACTTAAGATGTGGCGGATGTGGTGTTTGAATGAACCAATGGTTCCCTTGTATTAGTGACTGTTTTGATTTTGAATTCCAAATACAGTTCATCTGTTTGTACTTATCTAATACTTCTAGATTAAATTGCGTTGTTTATGGGATTACTAGTTTATACTGTAATTCAAATACTTCAAATTATCACACTAAACCTATTAATTGATATAATCAAGTGTCAACTTTAGATCGAATTATTACTTATCTATTTCCTTGAATAAAAATTAAAAAAAGCGTTAGCTTCATTTCTTTTGTACATAACTAGGTTTATCTGTCCCTTCGTTAAAATTATCTTGTACGAAAATTACCTCAGAATATTTGTTTCTATGAAACAAGCTAGATGGGTTTTTTTCGAAATTCAGTTTATGGAAGATTCCGGAAAAATTAATCAGCCTTTGTTTTGTCGGTTTAATTTCTGACAAACCCATCCAGCCACATAGTGTATAACAGATTTCATTCAGACCTAACACTTACGAAAAACAGTTGACTAACTTTGTCGGATAATCAAAGCGTGAATAGTGTGCAGGTTAACCACATAGACTTTATGAGGCTAAGTAAAATATCACGTTCCGATTTCTTCAGAAAAATTGCATACACTAACGTTATCAAAACCAAAAGTTTTGGCCTATGAAATATGTTATTCTTTTTAACTAGATCAAACATACCTACACACTTTCTGACCGAGTTCTCAAAATTTCTAACTAATAGGAAAATAGAATCTTATATAGACTAAGTTAAAGGTTGAGATACAAGATAGAAAATGTAGCGTAAGAAATGTACAATCAGCAAAACTGAAGGCATTCAACGGATCAAGATGTAATCAGTTAAAAGTTATACAGATTCAATCTTTAAAATATTTAAACTTACAATCGTTGTGCATAGTTCTTCAAATTTTACTTCAAAAGGATATTTCCCTGAAAAATCAATATAACGACTTTCACCAATCATGAAACCCAACCAACTGTCTGGAATAAACCCTCGCTTAACACGCAGAAAAATAGGCGGTTTTTTTAGTTTTCGAGTATATTCCGCTTCAATGAAGTGAATTGTAGAATAAAATAAAAAGGAGGAAAAAGTTAACAGTCTAAGATTAGTTGATACTGTTTAGAACAGTTTTATTAACAAAACAATGATTTGATACAAGAAAATGACGAAATCTACAATTAATTTAAAGCCAAACATACACAATTTATACACATGCATTCAATCAGTTAAAAGGTTTTAGATAAATAACTCATTTGTATACAAATTATATTTATGGGTGGTACTCGCTTGATTATAATAATGTCATTTGTAATGTGATTAGGATATTCAGAGATTGGATTTATTAAACTTTTAATGTCTTCTAGAACAACTACCGATTGTAATGGCAAATCAGTTGATATAATCATAGATCTGAGATGGCTCAGACATATCCTCTACCACTGCGTTCCACGAAGTACAATGTCGGATGGAGTAGCAATCAGTAGATGTGGCATCAGTACATGCAATCACTGGCTATTAGTCTGAACTGTGGTGGTAGATGTATAATATCTAACTAACGTCCGCGCGATAACGGTTATCAGTGGTTGAATAAGTTAGGTATCATGGATCAGAATCAGTCACAAAAGCGTAGAAACATTCCTCTAGACCATAACTCCCAGTATTTTTTCATTGATAAGTCTTGTTAATTGAACGCTATATTCGGATCCTAAGCTAGTCTCCTAACCCCCAAGCTAAATCTACACAGAGACATGAACACGAGAGAAAGGCGCAAAATGTACGAGAAGCACTTTACTCCGAAAGTTCATTTATGTACAAAAAATATAGGGTTTTTATAGCATTTTAGTAGCCTTCGGGTTTTCCTAAAAAATTCTAGAATGCTACTAAACATAGTAGCAGTGTAGTAATCAGCCAATTAGAAACTAAACATGTGACTTTTCATTTTCATGATGTTTCTAGCAAAACTTCTAGTCAAACGCTGATTGAATAAAATGCTTCTTAAAGATTCCTGAGCCTTTCTTGTCTATTGCGAGAAATTTCCAGGATCGCTCCAACATTAATATATAGCTTTCCATTGTCTTCTTCAGCCTTATTTCTAATGGTTATTCTTTCTTCTTATCTTGAATATCGCAACTACTTTGATTCCTTTGCTATTCATCATATAAATTCCATCTGCTTGTGCTGATGTAGTATGAACACTTTGGCTGATTGAAGTTTTTGCCAGATTCTTCACTGATTATGACGGACTGAATTCAATGCAAGTCTAGCATATGTATTCATAGAATGCTTTCATCATGAGCTACAAAACAGTTTGTTAGTTAAAACTGGAATGTAACTAGCTTTGTTGTTTTTAAGTCAAAAATTCAAAACATAATGAACTGACGCTAAATGTATACCACCGCTTATGTAGTATGCCAATAAAGTTATGTTAGAAAAATGTTTGTGCTTGCTAGAGACCTTTTATAAGCGTTCCATTACATTGAAAATTAAACAATGATAATGTTTACAAATAGTAACAAGTACATACTATCTCATTTTACCACAAGGGTATAAGTAATATGACAGACTTTAGGCAAACTCCAGTTTTTATACCGTGTCAAATATCACTGTAAAAGTGATAGACGACTAAATAATTCATACATACAGTGCAATGTATATATGACAAAAGAAATTAAATTGGAATATTTAATCGGTAAATCTGTTTAATACTATAAAATTATGTAAATCAATTTACGAACATAAAACATAACAGGTTAACATGAAAATACTGATCTTATTCAGACAGCCATTAGAAAAGAAACACTAGACAGCTTTTTCGTCTTAATGTGAAACTCCTTAGTAGTGTGCAACACCGCTGGGGACCAAACCCTAGATATTCAGGACTGGTGGAGAGGGATTAATTCCTAAACCACCGAACAGTCATCCAGTGGTTTATAGGTTTAACTTCAATTAATTTGGGATGTCGTGCGAACCATCTTTTAATGCAATTAGTGAGCAGATGTCTCACATTCTATATGGCTGAAATCCACAGGTCATTGATTTATAAGTTGATTTGATCAACAACCTAAGTTTAGAACCGTATAATTTGCCCCCAAATGTCCTGGTAAGGCCGAGAGTGGGGAGAGTCACCTCTCCCTCTCGAAATGCACTCACATGGCCACGCGAATATATAGACTCTGCCAGGGAAGTCCTACTCACTGCCTTCTCGTGGCGGGGGTGTTGTTCACGAAGTTGAGAGGACAAAAAGCGAATGTCCGACGCTTTAACCGAGTTGGTGGACACGGAAAGTTCACCTAGGGGAGTTGGAGAACCCTGATTCCAAACCAATGGTGCACATGGGCTCCACTATCCTGAAGGAACAAATGGCGTATGAACCAATTATTTGGTCACCGGCTACAATGGGACTGCATCTCCTCACGATTCTCCACTTCCTTGTGGACTAGACCTTCAGGTCAAAGGCTAGGGATGTGGCCCCCTAAGAAAACCACCTGCTTCAGCCTGGGCATCTGAGCAGTATCACAGCCCTCACACAAATCGAATGAGATTTGTGAGGAGCATATTTATCTGGTGCTTCCTTGTACCAATATTTATGTGTTTAAATAAATAAATAAACTGTATAATTTAAATTAATTCAATAGTATATTTACAGTTACGCGATGTCAAGAAACAAAGTAAAAAGTACGAAAAAAAGTCATTTTCTTCAATTTGTATTGAAGTTTATGTGAAACACCGATTCGGAAAGGTTTTAATAATCTCATTGTAATTTATGAATTGTCTTTTATGCATAGCAGGATGATTAGTTTGCTAGTATCTATGCTTAGTTTTGTTTCTCCTGTTGAGTTGGATTAATATTTCTTGATGAAGTTTTAATAAATATCTCGTTAATATTATTTTTATGTAGTATTTAATCAGGTTTGTACTTACCTGCTTTAGTATTTTCACTATCTTGGTATGATTTCGAAAAAAGTATTAATACGATTGCAACATTTTGTACAGCGCTTGCCATAACATCTAAAATCTTAACATCTTGAAGCATATGTTCTTTGTCAATCCAAATCTGAGAAAATAGAAAAAGGGATTTTTGATGGTTGTATATATATATATATGGCGCATAGCAGTGAAAGGTAAAACATCACCTATTACTTTGTTGCGTGTTCGCTAGTCGGGCTAACCGGTTATGTAGTGACGTGCTTCAATAATAATTCATTTCGATAACCGTTATTATACCAATCTTAAGGGTGTATAAAATCAGAAGGCAAAAGGAAGCGGCAACTACATTTTTATTGATAAATGATGCAGATCAGAAAGCTGTGGGCACATGAGCAAGTGTAAGCGAGCGAAGCAAAGATGATGCATAGTGGAGATGGCTGGGAAGCCAACTCGCTAAGAGCAAGCATTACTCAATATTTATAATCAGACAAAAATGAATGACAGACATATGATGAATAGGATACGATGGGTACACATATATACGCTCATATAAAAATATGGTCAAGGTTAATAAGCGAATAGTTAACAAGACCAAAATATGACTCATAATATATAGGTGAATTGGCTTGGCCAGCAACTAGAATAAAGTATATGGGCTTAACATATAAATTGATACTACAACTTTTTGCAACTAAAAATATTTTGAACTATTCAACAAAAATGTTCAGCTCTATTTAGAACTACAGTATATTTAAAGACAAATCGATACACGTTTCAATAATTGAGGACTTTGAATCTTCTTTTCGTATTGGTGATCATCATTTAAATATTATAATGGGACGATAAGTGTTTATATATATTTTGAAAATAAATTTGAAATAAGCCTTGACACAAAGTAGTTGAGAGTTTCGTTTTCCTGAAATACCTTAGATAATAAATAGAATATGAAAATGCAATCAATAAACCTATAAACACATAACAATTAGTTGGACTAAATATCAACCCTTGACCATTATTTTATAGGCCTTAACTCTTTCGGACTTTACATGAACTATAATTAGAGAGAAATACTTTTTAAAAGAGATTATATGTAACTGATAACATTACACACTCTCTAAGAGTAAATAATTTAAGTCGGATGACTTGACAGTGAGATATGAATGTATATAATGTGAGGTCTCAGATAATATTTTAGCTGCTTAAGCTTACACATATTGCCCTAAGCAGGTGTAAATAGGTTTGATAGCATGATGATCAGAAGAATAAAGTTACTGCAATCAAAAGGAAAATAAAAATTGATGAAGGATAATAAAAATAAACAGTGTTTTTATAACACTGACCACATCACAGATGATGTTACTATTCAATTAAGTGGTCAACATGTCTACTCTATCGTTAAAGTAACTATCGATGTAGACTGATCCTGAAGTAGTAATATGAGTTCCGTAGTGTGAAAAAACCTCAAGTTAAAAATGCAGGTCATGAATTTGTCTGATAAATACCACATAATGTAGCTACTTCAAATCGTAGGTTATTATGAGCTCTCCGATCGTCTAAGCTTTAAAGAAGTTGGCGTTAGCTTAGGGTAGATTGTAAAGAGTTGATATTTAAATAATGTCAATAATATTCTTTTGAAAAATGACTTATAAGTGACATCTTGATTCTTCAAGAATGAGTTATCTAAGTAGAATGCACCAACAAATCACTTTCTAGACACTTACAATCATAGCTGTTTGAAAGAATAAAAACAGATGAAAGGCATGACTAATTTGCTGACAGCCTTCCTTACCACAGAATTACTAATAAATAAGATGGAATCGTCTTTTTACAAACTGTTATTTAAAACCTACACATGATAAGTCATATCGTTGATACTGTACAGTTTGTGTATATAGGATTTTTACCCTTGAATAGCTTTACTTGTTTTCAGTATTCATATTGAGTGTAGAGCTTGAATCCAACATTCGTAGTTAAAATGGATTAAATATACTATTATTACGAATGATACTACTGAATCATAATGTTTTCAAAAAAACACATAACATACATAATTTAAATTTTCTATCAACTATGAAGATAATTAAAATATATTTCTCTTTTTAGCTAATTTCATTGGTATTTTCCGTAGTATTTTCAAAACCTGTTTAAGATAACCCTGTGACCATAACACATTTCTGAATAAGTTGTGATGTAGTGAACAAGAACACCGGTTGGAGACAATCGAATGTATTTAGGCACAAATTACAGACTATCTCATTAAATTCTGATAACCATACAGCAAACAGTTAATTTGCAAAATAACAATCAATTGTCTCAATCTTCATTGTTCCTTCTGCAAATATCAGTTCATCTTCTCTAATTCTATTGTTCATACATTTTCCTACCAATTGAGCTTCATTTCAGTTCTTTCCTTATCGGTCTTCTGCCAAAATACGTTCTATATCTGACCATCACCATAAACTACTTATATAGATATAAGTAGGCGCATATTTATTTATTTACCATAAACTACTTATATAGATATAAGTAGACCGCACTACAGTGAGATAACTACTAATATATGTAATAAATTGAATATCATGACATAACTCGTTTGAAAGTATTGCATCAATTTAAATTGCAATCAGGTAACACATCTCTGTATGACTAAAACTTATGAATTTAAGTATAGGATTTATCGAATCTCATTTTATTGCATGATATCTTTTTTCTTTAAATAATTTCATTCTAGTGTTCGACTAGCATTAAGCATGTGTTTGGAGGATGGAGACGAATTGTTGTATAAAATTTAGTTAGAAAATGTTTGAAAATTTGAAATTCCAAAATAAGATTGACATACCTTGATATCTTCCTCCTGCAGACTTTCTTTAATCTTGATCGCTATCTCCAGATCATCATGATTGTAGCTAATCATAATATGACCATTCAGTTGAGGTTTTTCTTTTATTACTTCACTACATTCTATAAAATAACACCCATAATAATAAGTTAAATACATACAATTATAAAATCGGATTTAGATAAGATTTCTGTATCATAATCTCGAATCTGATCAAGACTTTTGATAATTGACCTAGTTTGACAAAATTATGTCATGTGCCCACTGGCAGCTAACTTCAAGAGGCGATCGTCATGATCCTGGTGACAAGCGACGATCAATGGATTCGGGTGTGGAGCAGTTACTGACCGATGACAATGGATGATGGTCTTGCAATGTCTCGAAGTGACTAAAGTTAAAAATACAAACCAGCGGATAACAACTCTGTAGTTTAAAGGTTAGGCGCTAGCTGTAAGAACTAGATGTGCTAGGTTCGATCCCTGGCAGGGTCGTGGATACGCACTGCTCATCCCCATACTAGTTGTTTAAAGGATTTGAAATACTGTAAAACTGGCCAGTATAGATACAGATATCAAAACGTTGTATAATTAATCAAAAGTTTGGTCAATACAGTGAAGTAGTGCGACAACAGATCGAATATGGATAACTCTCTACTCTCCTCGCCAGCTCCACTCAATGCAATGGGTTAAGGTAACATTTTAATAAGGGGTTTAATAATAAGAACCAAACGACAACAATGAGTAGATGGAAAGTTGCTGTACATAGATGTACTTACAGTAATAAAGAGCGTACTAAAACATTAATAAGTTAATAAGAAGTTTATACCTTCAAAGAGGTAAGTACTAAAAATAAAGAGTGTACACTATAGACGAAATTCTAATTCGAAACCAAAATATAAACTTTGAAATACTAAATATCAAAAACTATTTTCAGGGATTTAGCCAGGCCTGAATCATAATGTAATAACGATAGTTTTAAACTAAGTGCAGACTTCATTTACAAAAACCAGACTGAAATTCTGTGGTTCATTTCCAAGGCAAATTTTTGCAATATAAATGGAAACCCAAAGAGCATATAAACTGCATCAACAGCAAGAAGACTGTATAGTAGCAAAGTATCTCTATCAATGAAAAAAAGAAACATGCTTTCAAAATAATCGAATTCTATCTACCAACCTTTAATGTGGGTAATAATCTGAGTGACTCGACATATCATGTTCTGCATTGAGATATTATTTGTTTGGAGATGGTAGATAGGAAAGCCTTGATCTAGGCTTCGGGCGATTTAACGTAATTTTATTTTTAAGTGAACCGGTACTGCCAGGCAGATTCAATCCCGCATCATCCAACTTCATAGTATGAGACTTTTTCATAGGCTAACCTATTTTACTTTGCAAGGAAATATTCAATTTCCATGATTTCCGTTAGCTTTCATTTAGCATTGTGTAAAACTCACCTTAGGTCCTTTTGTATTAGGCGCTAAGTTGATTTCTTATCCAGTGTATATAGCAATCACAAAAAACACTGTTATGTCTGATATTACGTAAAAATAAAATTAAGAACAGTACTAAATTGACGTTGTTACATACCTACGTCACCCGTTTGATTTTCAGACGATGGATATTGAGGTAAATATTCATCATCACTATACCCTTCAGTGAACGTTCTAACTTCATCTTCTATTCCAGTCATATTGTTGCAAAATTCCATCGCAAGTAACTTTATCTCCGTGATAGCATCGTCATTTGAAAGTTCCGAGGATAAAATGCGTATGGTCAATGATATTTCATCTGTACCATTAGATAAAGACTTAGGCAACAACTTCAGGCGTCCCACAACAGCACGCTGGGCAAACTCATTTCTGTTCTCATCATCCAAAGCCAAAATACGCAGCACTGGAGTTTATATTGAGAAGAAAAATATTTATCATCCATTTATAAGAAAAAAGATTTCAAACTTGAGACGAATAAACTTTTACTTTCCTCCATATAAAGCAGTAGGTTCTAACGATATTGACTAAATAATATTTGGGGTGTTAACCTGGTTTCTTGGTCATTTCATATATTAGTTGATTATTTTTTGTGACAAGTAATTATTTTTTAATACCTGATATGGATAGCCAATCAGAAGTAGCAAAAGGTCAATCGATGGCGAGTAAAAGTGATCCAAAGATCAAGTGCATTTCATTGGGGTGGTATATATATGAATGAGTATTTGTGCATTCCATTTGGTAGCTTAATACACTTTTTCACTCGCTCTTGTGTTCTCGCTCAAGTAGTCAGTTGAGAATTTAGCGCGTAGCACACCGTGTATCAGTATCGGCTTTTGGACACCGCATGTCACAACAATACCTTAAACACATATTATTACACCCATTTAATATCAACGAGTGAGAAATCTGTTCTTTTGAAAATATTCTTGCTATCTCAGAATGTAGCAGTTTAGTTTGAGTTTTACAACTTACCAATGATGGAGTGCGATTTTCCAGCCATGCTAATATTGGTCACGAAGGGGAAAATGCTCCACACACTCAGGGAGTTGCTCTAATGCTGTCCAAAGAAGCACAAAATGCACTTGTGGGATGGGAATCTCATGGACCCAGGATAATCAAAGCATCATTCAGAACAAAGAAGCAAGGGATCAAAATGAACATTATCCAATGTTATGCACCCACTAATGATAGCAACGACGATGATAAAGATCAGTTCTATGAAAGGCTGCAATCAATTATAGAGAAGTGCTCACGAAAGGACCTCACAATCCTGATGGGAGATCTAAATGCTAAAGTTGGGGTGGACAACACAGGATATGAAGATGTAATTGGACGACATGGATTAGGAGAGAGAAATGAAAATGGGGAGAGACTTGCAAACTTATGTGCATTCAACAAATTGGTTATAGGCGGCACAATATTCCCACACAAACGTATACACAAACCTACATGGATCTCACCGGACCACACCACAGAGAACCAGATTGATCACATCTGTATCAACAAAAAATTCCGAAGATCAATGGAAGATGTGAGAACCCGGAGAGGAGCTGACATAGCTTCAGATCACCACCTGGTTGTGGCCAAGATGAGACTGAAGCTAAAGAAAGACTGGACAACTGGACAAACAGCACTACAAAGGTTCAATACAGCCTTCCTTCGAGATACTGACAAGCTCCATGAATTCAAGATAACTCTCAACAACAGGTTCCAAGCTCTACAGGATCTACTGAAAGAACAAGAAACTACTTTGGAGGACAACTGGAAAGGGATAAAAGAAGCACTAACTTCAACGTGTCAGCAGGATCTTGGTCCTAAGAAGCATCATCACAAGGAATGGATCTCTATGGGAACCCTGGACAAAATTCAAGAAAGGAAGAACAAGAAACTAGCAATTAACACTAGCCGAACACGAGCAGAGAAAGTCAAAGCACAAGCAGACTACGCAGAAGCAAACAAGCAAGTGAAGAAAAGCATTAAAGCCGACAAGCAGAAATATATGGGATAACTAGCAACGGCGGCGGAAAAAGCTGCAAGAGAAGGAAATATGAAACAACTATATGACACAACGAAGAAATTGGCAGGGAGATATAGCAAACCAGAGAGACCAGTCAAAGACAAAGAAGGAAAGACAATCACTGAGATTCAAGAACAGAGGAAAAGATGGGCAGAATACTTCGAGGAACTGCTGAATAGACCAGCCCCATTGAATCCACCGAACATCGAAGCAGCCCACACTGACCTTCCAATAGATATCACTCCACCAACGATCGAAGAAGTCAAGATGGCCATCAGACAAATCAAAAGTGGGAAGGCGGCAGGACCTGACAATATACCAGCAGAAGCACTGAAGTCAGACATTGAAATAACTGCAAATATGCTTCACCTTCTATTCAAGAAGATTTGGGAAGAGGAACAAGTGCCAACGGACTGGAAAGAAGGATATCTCATCAAGATACCAAAGAAAGGAGATCTGAGCAAATGTGAGAATTACAGAGGTATCAGCTTGTTATCAGTACCAGGAAAAGTTTTCAACAGAGTGCTGCTGAATCGGATGAAAGACGCAGTAGACGCCGAACTTAGGGATCATCAGGCTGGATTCCGTAAGGATCGGTCGTGCACAGACCAGATTGCGACACTACGGATCATCGTTGAACAATCAGTTGAGTGGAACTCATCACTATACGTCAACTTTATTGACTATGAGAAGGCGTTTGACAGCGTGGATAGGAGAACATTATGGAAACTTCTTCGACACTATGGAGTTCCTGAAAAGATTGTCAACATTATCCAAAACTCATACGATGGATTACAGTGCAAAGTGGTGCATGGAGGACAGCTGACAGATGCATTTCCAGTAAGGACCGGAGTCAGACAAGGCTGTCTACTCTCCCCATTCCTCTTCCTTCTAGTGATTGACTGGATTATGAAGAATTCGACATCTGAAGGGAAATACGGAATACAATGGACCTCTCAGAATCAATTAGATGATTTGGACTTCGCAGATGACCTAGCCCTCCTCTCTCATACACACGAACAAATGCAGATGAAGACCGCAAATGTAGCAGCAGCCTCCGCATCAATAGGCCTCCACATTCACAAAGGAAAAAGCAAGATTCTCAAATGCAACACGGAGAACACCAACCCAATCACACTTGATGGCGAAACTCTGGAAGAGGTGGAAACATTCAAGTACCTGGGGAGCATCATTGATAAACAAGGGGGATCGGATGCAGATGTAAAGGCGAGGATTGGAAAAGCAAGGGCAGCATTTCTACAATTGAAGAACATATGGAACTCAAAACAACTCTCAACCAATTTCAAGGTCAGAATCTTTAATACGAACGTCAAGACAGTCCTACTGTATGGAGCTGAAACGTGGAGAACTACTACGGCCATCATCAGGAAGGTACAAGTATTTATAAACAGTTGTCTACGCAAAATACTCAACATCCACTGGCCGGATACTATCAGCAACAGCGTTTTATGGGAGAGGACAAACCAGCTTCCAGCTGAAGAGGAAATTAGGAAAAGACGTTGGAAGTTGATTGGACATACATTGAGGAAATCACCAATGTGCATCACGACTCAATCCCTAACTTGGAATCCTGAAGGGAAGCGGAAAAGAGGAAGGCCAAAGAACACACTACGCCGAGAAATAGAAGCCGATATGAAAAGGATGAATAGCAACTGGAAAGAACTGGAAAGTAAGGCTCAGGACAGAGTTGGATGGAGAATGCTGGTGAGCGGCCTATGCTCCTCCACAAGGGGTAACAGGCGTAAGTAAGTAAGTAAGTAAGTAATATTGGTCAAGCCTATCTGGACAACCCCATTGGCTTTCCTGGAAATGCTTTCTGTTTCTCAAGTCTCACAAACCCCCAGCATGGATGTGATTTTGTGGACAAATCGTTACCCCTATGTATTGACTTGCTGGCGTCACACCATGGGCAAGTATAGTCTACATGCATACCAGTTAAACACAAATCCTCACCCATGCATCCTTTGACATACACATACGTATACTTACCTTGTTAGCAAATATATGCTACATGAATACTAGTGACACACAAGTGTTTACTCATCCACTCCATAACATATATATAGGTATATTCACCCACTTGGGAGGGTAGATGGTGACCTCTACGTTTGGACGGATTTGCTATAGCTGACTGACATGAATATTACTAGTATAAAAGCCTTCACTCATGCAATTCATGACGCACATAAACATAGGCACTCCTTCAGGAAAGGTTGACTGTCACCTCTCTCTAGTATTTGCCAACATATTTTTTTATGATGTCTTCGATCTGAAGGATTAGGCTGCTTATTTTATTAGATATAGGGCAGACATTTTTTATCTCATGTTCCTTGTGCCAACCCTTGCGCGTACCCAGTGCACACATATATAAACCACACAAGCCGAAACTCATGCAGTTCATATACATAAACATACACACTGGGCAGCCCACAAGATTTTCAGATAGTCCTAAAGAACGGAAACCCAGTGAACTTGGTTTGCAGCAGGGTGGCAGACTAGTCCGATGTCCGCCGACCGCCCAAGTTAGCTAGCAAGGTCGGCCTTACTACCCACAAGCACCAGGGGGAAGTCTTAGGTTGAATTTCTCTGCAAATGACAGAGTACATTTTTTGTTTATATGGAAAACAAAAAGATTCATAAACACTGCACACAGAAATTTCTACTTTACATTGAACATTTTTGAAAAATAAGACTAGCTAAACAATCTTATTACTTTGTTTTAGTTCACATTTAATAACTCACAAAACTAACTTTCTGACGCCTAGAATGGATTTGAATGTCTATTATATACAGTCTATTATATACAGTATACAAAGACTGATAGGGAATTACCGGTAAGTAGTATCATCTAAAATAGTGTTTGGTAAACGGTTATACTGATTTAAACGCGTAATTTAAACGTTTCTAATCGTTGTGCTGTCTTATTTCCTCCGAGTTCAAGATGCGTACCAGTCATTTTGGCCTTGACACAGCAAATACAAAAAGTTTATTATACTATATCATATAGGTGAAGCACTAAAGAATCGCTAATTAAACTCATACAGTCGTCTAAAGATGTTTGTTGAAAATCTAAAACACAAGATCAGTAAAACTCAATGAATTTCGATAGCCCTTTTTGAATCAATAAATTTTCGTAAATTCATTTCGAACAATTTTAAAGAAAGTAGACTGAATATAGACTAGAAGAAAATCTACTCATTAATTACGATCATTTGTCAATCGCTACCAAAGTAGGATCTGATATAAGTGTCATACTTAAGTTTTGACACTTTATATTCGCACAGTATGGTGAAATCGGTAACATTAAAAGCAGACTAATCAAAATAATAATATCAATGGTAATAGAAAACCAAGCATAGAGAGCACACCTCAAGAGAAACGTATGAAATAGAAGACTGGAATGTACTAAGTAATAGTAAGCTCAAGATGTAAATGAAGAGACCGGATGAATACATTTGGACCGAAATGACTTGTATTGAGGGACGGTTACAAAGGAAATAGAACTAAGTAACAATAAGCAGTCCCCTAGACTTGTCAAGGAGACCAGATGAAAACTAGCCCTAAATAAAACTATTAAAGACAAAGACCAATTTTCAATCCAACCTTATATTAAATGACCACAATGATTGGTGAAATATTTCGGGAAACAACCAACGGGTCCTGAACTGCTCGTCAGTTACTACTAACTGCTAACAGCAATAATGGGAGACAGAAACTTGGTTCCCAGATCTTACGGATATTTAGGCTTTAACTAAACAGGAAGAGATTGAGACACTGTCTTAGATGAGTTTACCATAGACACCTTGAAGTATGAAGGTTCAGTATAGTTCACTAAAGTTACTGGGATATTCACAATATTTTGAAGTCTATATCTAAATCCAACTGACTGACAGTCATTGATGAGGATAAATACCTCTTGCAATAAGCAAATAATACCGATTCCGTCAAGCTTTATACGAATCTTGGTTTTGTGATATTCTAATGTTTAACTAAAGATGAAGAATAACAAACCCGAGAAACAGTGGCGAGTTTCAAATTAAAATTAATTAATGAACTATTTATCCATACCAGGAACCTTTGAAAGTTGAATATTTTAATGATAAAACTTTCTGAAAATATATATCTGAATATCCTTGTCTATATTCAGTAGAAAAAATAAGTGATACTGGTGGTTACTAGTTATGATTAAAATATACAAAAGGTGGAAACTAGCTTGGTGAATAAAGAATACTCTAGTACTATATATCTATCTAAACTGTATATTTTACTAGTTCAACTTTACGTCTCCAGGAATACTTACCCGTTTTTTCTGTCACTCCAACTAAAGTAAAGATGAGCCCGTTTCCCACATATATATTACCGTTTTATGTTACATCTTATATTTTTGACAAGCATAAAATAAATAATTCATACAGCAGAACCTATTGATTTGAAAAAAACCTACCTTTATTAAACTGAAAGGCACTAAACAAATCATCACTTTCAATTCCTTCATCTATAAAATAATCGAAGCAGTTTAAGAATAATTCAATGGATTCTTCCTTTAAATTAAGTTGACTAATATCAGTGTAGGTAAACGTTAAAAAAATGGTTATGGCCAACTGGAAAGTAAATATTAACTGGAAATAATTCCTCAAACCTTAATTTTTGGATCACGACAAGTATAACGCGTTAAAATGCTGCGCATACTATAATCTCTAAGCCTTTGTGTAATGAACTCATTTTCATAAATTAGTGCAGTATTCAATCCAGAAATCATGTAATCCGTTAATGACCGTACAAGCTACTAAATTATATTTTAAAACAAAGCGTTTCAAACCTCGGACATTTTCATGGTGTTTATAGCATTTAATATACGCCGTACTTCCATCAAATATATATCAGATTTAATCAATTTCCGTGTAAAGCTTATACTGACAGTCATATAATTTGACAAAAATTGTTGAAAGTCTATCAGCTTGATGACCCATTTTTCACAAGGGAGTGGATTGAATGTAGAATAACTTAAAGGAATAGCCATTCTTCCCAATTCCCGATAAACTGATACAAGATTTACGAAAACCGATGTTTTTGACAATATATCAACAGCAACTTTTGTACGATATTTTGTCAGATGACTAGGAAGAAATGATCGTAACAACTCGTCAAAATCTTCTGTATCATATTTTTTAGATTTGGACAGCATTATCAGTTCGTTAATGTTTTTTGACGCTTCCGTAAGTAGTTCACCAAAATCATCTGCACTCATTTTGGTTAACTGTCTAAATTTAAAACAGTTGGGAAGAAACAACTTTACCGAAGTTTAGAAAAAAACTAAAATACTAACTCAGAATTACTCATCAAATGGATTCCGAAAAATAAGACAGGCTAGTTTTATCACCACAAAAAAGGCCCATTAGATAGTCGAAAGAGAACATTAGTGTAGACAATCTAATGTATTCAAGTACAACATTACGGAATATCTTGGTAAAATCTGAGATCCCAACAGTAAATACTTCATTTGCAAAATATTCATCAATTGGCTCAGACTTTATTGTTTCTTCATTTTCATATCAATCACTCTCTCTGTTTTCGTTCTCTTCTTTTAGATTTTCTCAACCTTCTACCACCAGAGATTCCACTTTCAATCGGTGATACATACTACTTATATATGTCGACTTAAGTAGCATACACCAGTTGTACTCCTGCATGGGTAAAGTTTATTAAGGAGAAATATATGCATGAAAAACATATAAAATGGGAGGAAAATGTTAACAGAATAAATAAAGAACCTGTTCAAATGGAATACAGAGTTCTAAAAGCCGAGCATACAATATTTTCAGGCACCAAATCATGAGTGTTGAACACGAGGATAGTATGAATTATTTTAAGCCATCACATCTCGCATCAAAAAGGCAGGAAAAAATCGGCAAGTCAAAAAGCCTAAGGTGAAATATGATATGTAAGATAACAAAAATCTAGGCATGATAAGGGCAATTCAAAGGAAGCAAATGAGGTCCTAAGACTAAGTATAAAAAACGACGATAAACTCAAGATTTAGAGGAAGGTAGTGACTGAATAAAAATACACAAACATGGAGAGTTCTTTTTCGATTTCATTTAACATCTTCATTCTTTTATTACGAGTGTCGAGTGGACCACAAGTAGGAAGTTTACAACCACCAATTGACTAGGACCAGTGGTTAGTGATTTAATGGTCTAATGTCACGTATTGGTTACCGTAATCCTTGCTTTCCTCCAGCTGGCCTTCATATTACATAACCTTTCCCCTAGGGTAACAAAACAAAGTTGGTCTTTTAAGATCTGCCGAGATTTCGTCTATTGTGGATCCGCCAGAACCTGTTGGACTTTCAAAGAAAGTTGGATAGCTGACGAATTCAACTATTCCACTCTCTGTGGTCAGGCTATGTGTTGATATCGTCAGTAAGTCATTCATATGTAACGCACAATCTTACACAAATGTGCATTGGTCCAAGTTTTCGCACAACAATTATACAATAAGATGAAATTATTCTGAAAAATACAATAATAATAGAAGTGATAGTGATATCAGTAGGGATAGGGAAAGTTATATATAGAAAGAAAAGAAACAGAGAGGAAAAAGGAGATTTTGAAAATTATGAACTAGAGGGAAATGAAGGATGAATGCACCTGCGCCGTCGAGGCAAACCAATATTGAGCAATTCGTCGCATTTGGAAAAAAAGAAACACATTTTAAACATATTTGCATTGTTCCACAAGGGAATAAGAATACTCTATATATTATCCAGTCCTCGTGATAAAAGAGCAATCTAAGGAAATTCGCTGAAGTAAATGTTATGTTTAAGCTGCTTTCGGATTTTTGAGGGACAGTAATTATGTCCACCACCCTTTATCATTTTCATTAAGGATTAATATGCCATGTCGATCTCTCATTCACGCTGTTATTAAGAAGTAGGCAACTAAACAGTAGCTACATTTTAGCTTAATCGTTTCTTAAAATGTTCTACTTTGAAACACAGCCTTTTGATCTATGAGGGAAGTCAAGATTCCAACTTTCCAAAAACTTTTAACCGAAATCTGTCTAATTAAACCATTCTTCTAATTAGTTTAAATAATTATGTGATTGGTTAGAACCTTAACACAGATTATGTAATAACGACAATTTTAATGAATTATATTGATCCAGAAGAACACACAGAGCGACAACTTTGAGGAAAATATTCATTATTAGTCACATGAGAACATTCATAATCTAGAACAAAGAGATTTAAGTATTAGATATTAAGTATATGCGATAAACAACTTATTAACAACCATCCCAATATTTCTACCAAATTTATTTGACTATATATTTGAAAATATTGATTTTATCAAGACGTTCAAACCTTTATAGAGATCATTGACAGTTAGATATCAGAGGTAAAATGTTGGAACAAATAAATAAGGAATTCAAGATATTTATTTATCATGGAAATTTTATGAATCTTCTGTTTATTTAGATTTATAAATTGTTCACTAGTCTACCAATATTAAAGAAAATCTCAACGATCGTTACGTAGGACCCAGTTGCTTATTTTGAGCCAGCTTACGTTACAAGGTTGTACAGCAATGGTTAAATGTAGATGAAATATATATACCATGTATCTGTATCAATATATATATTAATAATGAAGATTTATGGATTATTTACACTTAAATAGGATTAATCAGAATTCAAGTCAAGGGTTGAAAAATTATTAAAAGACACCTCAAATGATTGTTTGTAAGATATATATATACCACTCTCTGCATTAAAAAGCTACAACTTCACCAACCTATGTGTAATTTCTAGTTGTTTTACCGCCAAACCATAACTTGATATTTGACCTTCATTATCAATGATGTTAAAGACTCTAATATGTAATGCCTTTGTGAGAAGCCTGTGTAAACCAATAGGTTGGATTTTAACTGATTCTTGATTTTTCTCACAGGTCTGTATTCAGAGTGCCGTAAAATGTGGATTGATTCTTCGTAATTCGACATTCAATTGAGGGTTAGTTTTCCCTGAAGAGCAGCAAATAGAGTTAACACCAGCTATACGTTCATCCAGTCAAACCTTACAGCCAACATTACGGTCAGCCAATATGACAACCAAACGAAGTAATAACGTCAAGTGAAGCGAAAACAAAACGGCTATCAAGAACCCCGTCATTAAGTTATAATATATAATTTAGAAATTGTGGACGATATAATAGTAGTTTCAAATAAATCAAGATCTACATAATGTGTTACACATCCAGAATTTGCAATAAAATCAATAGAACACGACAGCAGAAAATGGTGACATGACTAAGTTGAATATATAGGAAAGGTTGTTTTGGTCTATGAATTCATCATAGTAACACTGATGACCTCACAAAATAATGTATAGTAGTAGTACTCAACCAATAAATATAATTACAAAAGAAACAAAAAGTACCTGAAAAATTTTGCTTCAGGCAGGTGTAGTGTAGTGCTTCGTTAATCAATCGTCTCGATAACCGTTATTATATCAATCTGAACGGTGTATAATATCAGGAGACAAAGGGAAGTGGCAACTACATTTTTATTTGCAAATAACATAGGCTAGAAGGCACTAAGCACATGAGTAAATGTTAGCGAGCGAAGAAAAAATAACATACATTGGAGATGGCTGGTAAGCCAACTCGTTATAAGCAAGCATTAATCAACATTTATAGTCAGACTAAAATGAATGACAGACATGTGATAGGTAGGATAAGAAGTGTGCATACACATACGCTCATATGAAAAAATAGTCAAGGTCAATAAGGGAATAATTAACAAGATCAAAATATGACTCATAACGTTGTAGGTGAATTGGCTTGTCCAGAAACTAGAATAAGCTATGTAGGTGTAATATAGTACACGACGTTACACTACTCCCCACATAGCTTCCCCCAGAGTGTCCGGAGGAAAAACTGTTATGCAAAATAAACAAGGGGGAGGAGTTTATTAAACAAAAGTGTCACACTCATGTGAAAATGTACATGAAAATTGTCAAAATGAGGACAGAAATGGAAATGTTGGCATGTGATTATGAGTAAATTAGTAAGCGTACAAAAAATTTAACATGCATTTATGTCGTGACTGTCCGGATGATAAAATAACATGTTTGTATGAGCAATTCGAACTATCGTGAAAATAGAGCAATAAATTGTTTATGGGTATGACAGCGGAATAAATCGTGGAAATAAGTAATGTAGAATATAATAGAAATTGGTCTATGGTGCCGACTGAATATGACGATAAAGAACAGTGAAATATATTCTGATAAGCCGCAGTAGAGTAAATAGAATCGATCAGCGATTAGTAGAATCGAATTCGCATACCTGCAGTTCGTGTGTGGTAAAAATAATCGAATCGTAGGATGGTGACTGCATCAACGGTTGATATTCATTGCTGTACTGATAATGATAATAAGATTCGAAGTCAGTGTGAGTTGTCGCTTGCTTTGAGTTATCATTAAATATGTATTAGTAGAATGACCAGAGGAACAGGATAGTGACTGCTGAAACGAGATATGCAGAGTCGTATCCTTTTATGGTCATGCAGCCTATCGTGGTTTGTGTAGTTAGAGGGATATGCGCTCAACCTCATTTGTTACGAAACCGTATTAAGGCATAACAAAAATACCAATACATATGATTATCGATGACGGCAAGTGAGACTGACTTGGATGTGACGAACAAGAGTGTATCTTTGAGAGACCAGCTCTAAACTCTATGTTCCTGTATACCATGCAATGGAAATAGAATACTAATTGCAGTAACCAAATATTTTTGATGCGTAATAGATGACGCAGCATTCAGGTTTACATGTCGATGAATAGATAATATGAACATAATCATTACTAATCGGCTGGTAATGCGGCGTCGAATACTTGATTTGTGTATAGACATTAAAGTAGGGATCATCGTGAAACAAAAATTGCGAAAGTTCAGTTTAGGTTGTCGCTGAAAATATAAAAAATTCCGATTGCTGCGTACCATTGTGATGAATGGACATTAGTGGTATGGAGAACATAAGTTCCTACTATCGGGAGTATGACTCCAAACTTATGTCTATGATAGAGTGTAATGTTAGACCGAAAATGACATGAAAAAAGATTGGAACGAACTCACCCGAATCAGGAAAATTTTTCGTCATTGATAATTTAAAGCGGCCAATCACTAGAAAAAGGCAAAATATAATTGGTAAAGAAAATAAAGATAGAATAAAACACTCCATTGACAGCGAAAATTTGATCAAGTAAGAAGTCAACCCCAAAGCTATTTGTGCTGCATGTATCGTTCAGTATCCAATAGAAAAACTAGAAAATATGGTTATTATAGTTCTGTCGTTCACTGTGCATTGATTTGAATATTATCGCGAGTTCTCTTTCGAATTCATCAATCACAACAGACTGATAGAAGTGCAGCCCAAAAACTTTTTAACAAGTGTTTTGAACATTACATGCCGCATTTTGTTTGTCTTACACGTTCCATCGATATCAATGGCCTGCAGAAAGTATTCATGAGGGTTGATCACATCACCTCGCACAGAAAAAACTCTAAAGATACAGTCTAAGTCGTCACGAAAGTCCATCAACCCCCTCTGTCACTTGTAGAAAGTATAAAATAGTTTTAATATTTAATTACTGTTATTTTACTTGTCACTTAAGCATAATATTTACTTAGGTAGTGTAGTGACCTACTTTTATGACGAGAAAGTGATTGGTACAATGGAAACAATTATTATTATAACCTATTGTACCAGTGATTGTTTTACTGCACTTGTTTGTTTAAACGTACCAAACACACATTCTTCCGCTGTCTGTGACCTTGCACGAGCTCGCAACGCTCTGTAGTTAAGCTTGTAATCTGGCATGATCTCTGTATTCTCTCGATACCACGAGATCGCCAAAAAATATATCTTATTGCGACCGTCAACAATCTTCTGGTTTTCGTCTTACAGAGAGATGCAACTTGATATCTGGCACGTAATATTCCTGTAGTGGTGATCATAAGCCATCGCGACTCATTGCCTTTTGCACTGATGACCCGAAATTTCGAACACGTTTCAACCTCTGAAGAACCTTCCAGAGAAGATTACCACGTGAGTCCATTATCTATCTATCCACTTTTGTTACATATATTCGTATGCGAATCGACACCAACTACAGTAGAACCTCATCCTCAGATTTCTGATGTCAGCAAAAAACTCAATTTTTCCAATTTATCCGTTCACTAAATCAGTAACTTCCAGAACTTCATATTACGACTACTAAATGATTGAATTACACTACTTATGGCGTTGAATAACCTTTGCTAACAGATATTTTCAACGTTTAAGCTAGAAGTACAGGATTGGTCGTGTTTGATGTAAAATATGTCGTCTCATATCCTCAAGTGACTTAGTACACTGTTATTCTAGACTTGAAGCCCGAATGTCGACAAATAAGTTGACACAAAGTTTAAAAAAATATAAAACTTTGACACCTGATACGACCTCCGTCCTCTCAAGTATGACGCAAGATCTGGGAAGCGTTATACTGTGTCACATACCATGTTTTATCTCATCAATCTTATCTGTGTAAGGGTTTGATATTGTAGAACAACTAGTACTGTGCTTGTTAAACGTGGAGCACTTGGATTTTAGATCAGTCACCTTCATCTATTCGCTAAAATTCTGCTAAAGTAATTTTATGACTTGCACCATGCATACTTAAAGTTTGAATTTTAAACTGAAGCAATTTTTAAGACAAATCTACTTTGACACTGTAGGGTCAGTGAAATGTCACTGAACACGAGCCAAATCATCCGGCAGTTGGGTCACTGAATATCGAACAGGTCGTCGATCCCCATCAAGGTCAAGAACCATCAACGCGCATCATTTAATCATACACCATGGACTGGCCCATTCGGAAGTGGTTCTACTTTCGCTTGTATCTACTCTAACCAATACATTCTTGTAATAACGTCTTTTGTGTTGTACAGTCTTCAGAGCATCCATGATCCCTTGATACGTCTATGGGGCAATCCACGTAAGGTGCTGATCACGAGATGTGACTTCCAAGTTAGCTTATTCGTTACACCGTCCCCGTCTAACTCGAGTAGGCCTCCAATCATTCGACATAGATCGTCAACGTTGATCATTTACACTGGTGTGCAAGACTTCGGATAACACAACCTATCATCATGACTTTTTTTATTGCACTCTATACTTACTATTTTTTCATTTTTGACGTCGCCCATGTTGATCAGTTGCTGTGAACATTCGTCGCTTATTATCCTTGTTGATTAGTATTTCAACCTTAATTAGTTCAATCGGTAGAACTAACCAATCAACTACGACTCTAATCGGCTATCATGGTTCTTTAACAAACACTAGCAGCATGTAAATGCTCCTATGAAATATGTCTGTTAAAATATTAACCACTCGTAATTATAGCCACATGGCAACACGAACGCATATCTGTTTACAACTTATCCACTTGTACCAGGAATACAGGATTAACCGTCGATTATAAATTCATCTATTTGCTTAATCACTATCAACTAACTTCTGTCAGAAACTATCTACCAGAATATTTTACTTTCTTGACCACTGCCTGCCTAATTTCCAATTGCTAAGTTCCATGGCGAAACGGAGGATACTAATGCTGGAAATTTACGGTGTGTTTGAACTATAAATTTCCTGCAATGTTAGATCTTCTTTAGTCTGTTTCACCAGGCAATGCTACGTGTTTGGCTCAAACTAAATTTGGATTTATACGAATTCAGTCTACAATGCTTCGTTAAGCTACGAATTTAATCAATAA